GATGTTTGGCACAATATGGTAATGATTTTTTAATTGATTTTTTTATAGACATAGAAAATGGCAAAATTAAAGAAAAAGTTATAAGACGCAGTATTACACCTTCAAATATTACTGAACCAAGTGATTCAAATAAGAAAAACAATTCTAAATCTGATTTAAATTCAACCGGGATCAAAGTTATTAGATGTTCTGAACAATGTCTTGACAATGTCGATGCTGCTATATTTAATGCTGAAAATGTTTTGAAAAGTATTAAAAAAAGTTCAATTAATCCAAAATCTATGTTGAAAGATCTCTGTCTGTCAAATGTTGTTAAAATAGTTTCTAAGGATGATGTTATTGCTAGTTATAATAAGGGTAAAAATTCAAGAGATGAAGAAAATTCAATTAAAAAAAAAACAAAAAACGTTTCAAGCCGTATAATAAATAATGATAATTCATGTAGCAGTATGGAAACTGATGTTGATATAGACATAGGCAACATGAATATTAACTCTCATRTTTATACCAAGGAACAATCTAATGATAGTTTAAATTCTACTTCAACGACTATTGTGATTCCTAATTTAGTGGTATCAACTCCCAAAACTAACAATAGAGAAGAAAGTAATCCTGAATATTTAACACCTTCTACTTCTAACTGCGATATGTCACCTGATAAATCTAAATCAAAATTCAAAGATACTGCAACTATAACAATTCCATCTATTTTAGAAATAGGTGATCCATCATATAGTTTTATAGTGTCTGATAGCAAAATACAAGATTTTATAAAAAATGCAAAAATGATTGAACCTGATAACATTGAAAATGCCTATGACCCGACAGAAATAGATGAAATTATTAATCATGAAATAATTTTAGGTACACGTTACTATTTAGTGAAGTGGAAAAGATGGTCTAAAGGATTTAATACATGGGAACGTTTTGGTGCTCTATATAAATCACAAAATCTCATACTTCAATATATCAAAACTAAAAAGRCTGATAAACATATAAATGGAAAAGTAAATGGAATAGAACTTATGATGTCGAGAAAAGTTATTTCCAAGTTGTTTGATTACTTTAGAACGGAGACTGGTTTATCTCTGCCAGCAATTTTACCTGAAAATATAATTGGTTTATTTAATTGTCTCGATGTTGGTCCTATAAAAAGTCAATTATTACGAATTAAATGTTTTCAATTATTTTTGTCTTCAGTTTCATTGGGATATTATAGACAACAACAGTTAATCAAACTCAGACAGTGGGAAATTGACATTAATGTAATGACTCAAGGTTACCAAATCAAAGTAGAAAATAACATGGATCTTGAAGGACCACCAGATTTATTTGTATATGTTTCAGATTATATTCCTCAAACAAACATTATTATACCGGATGATCCTCCTATTGGATGTACTTGTAAAAGAAATTGTCAATCTCCTGAAGAATGTTGTTATGAAATGTCAGGTTGTTTAAAAGCATATGATAAACACAGAAATATAATAGTAGCTCCTGGTAATCCAGTGTTTGAATGTAATAAAAAATGTAGATGTACAAATTCATGCACCAATAGAGTGGTTCAGCTTGGTAGCAAGGTAAATATTTGTATTTATAAGACAAGCAAATATGGCTGGGGCGTTAAATCTGCCCAAAACATTCAAAAAGGTCAATTTGTTGGCAAATATATTGGTGAAATTATCACAGTTAAAGAATCTGAACAACGTTTAAATAATGGATCGTCTTTATTGGACAACATGTGGAATTTAGACTTTGATGATCCACAGAATTATAAATATATCATTGATGGTACACATTTTGCCAATTTCACATATTTTATAAATCATTCATGTGATGCCAACTTAAACGTTTATGCTGTATGGATTAATTGCCTTGATAGAAATCTTCCAGAGTTAGCCTTATTTGCTAGCAGAGACATTTCAGCTGGTGAACAACTTACAACTGATTATTTTTCTCGTATTAGTGAAGATGCTTTGAAAAAAAGTGGCACTAAATGTCAATGTGATATGAAAAACTGTCAAGGCTATTATTTTTAATCATAAAATTACATTTTTATAATAAGGTTATTTTATAAAGCTATCCTTTATACTTATTATAATTTTAATTCTTGTATGATATATTATATTGTTAAAATTAAGTTATAGACCATAGATTTAATTGTATTTTTGTACTGGTTATATTTTACAAATTTATACATAACATTTGATTTAATTGATAAAAATGTTGTATCATCCTATGTAATATTGTAATGTATGTTAGTTATTAAAGATAACTTAAAATCCTTTTTAATACCCTTATTTTGTTTACAATAGATTTATAAGGCTAGGATTATTATTTTTATTGTTATTAACAATCTATACAAATACTTAGACTTATTAAAAAGATGTTTAGTAAATTAATAAAATTAATACATGTTTAGTTTTATACAGTTATAATTTTTTTTTATATATTCACATATTATAGTAAAAAAAAGCTTTGACCTTGAACTTTGAGGATGGTTCCTGGTAACAAATAATTGTAAAAATTTGAGTAGAAATGCCTAATATTTTTTTTTWAATAATTGTGAAAAACAAAATAATCAACCACCAAAATCTTAAAAATTTAATACAAAGTTCAACATACATTTTTCTTTCAGAACCTAAGTATTTCAAAAATATATGGGCATAATTTTTT